ATATGGTCGGTTGTACTCATAGTATACTCTGCACTTGGTCTGCAGATCCAGGTACATCCGGTCGAGGCAATTTTCAGAGTTGAGTTGCTACTAGCTTTTGGGAGACTATGATGCAACTGCTATGTTGTCTGCGGTCCTTGGAGTTCTTTTAAGTTATTTGTATCTTTACTGTTCTATTGTTGAGACATTTGTATTAGAGGATTTTGCTTGTATCTTTTTATTCAGTAGTGCTCGTGTACTCGTTGACACCAGATTTTGGGGATGGTTGTAGCAGTATTATGGTTATATTTTCAGATATTTTGTGATATTTTTTCATTGTTGAGTTATTAAACCATATTGTTCGATTTCATAGTTATTATATATATATATGTTGTCTTACCTAACAGATTGAGTTAGATGCCATCACGACTTATGAATTTGTGGCAGTGACACTCTTGAATGCCCATTGGAAAAAATGACTAACCTCTGCCAATTTATAGGAATAGATGAAATGGTCAATAAGAAGAGGCATGTAGATTATTAATTATTGACACTGTTTATTGAAGATGCAAAGACATGCTTTTGTCATGATATAATAATGGATTGCAATGCTTAAGCCTTTGTTTCTAAAATAAAAAAAAATTAGCATATCAGATGGTGTAAAAAGCTACTTTCACAAAACAAAAATGATAACTCCTAGGAAAGAGTGATTTTTGTTAGTCCCTCATAAAAATTATTACTCACAAAAACAATACTCATGCTACAAAACTAATTAAACCTAATAAAACTATAGTAGACATAGGACCAACTTTTGGGTGAATAATGGATTCCCCTTGGGGAAACCATAGAAGGGCCTTTTACTCTTGCTGATGAAACTGTCAAAGTATCCACTTTGTACACTAATGATTTGTTAAATTTCAGCTCCCTCTCCTTCAAACTTCCTTGACATGTCATGCATACTATCTAAAACGCTTTCATTCCCATATCCTCCAACAAACCTATCTCTATTATTTGGAGGCTTAATGGTAATGGGATCATTACAACTAAGTCTGCCTACTACCTAATTAACTCCTTCATATATTGGAACTCACATTTCGATCCTTGCAAGTCTCTATGAGCTTACTGAAGGAACACAAAAGAGCAGAACTTAGCAAGGGTTTCGATGAAACTAAGGAACGGGAAATTGTTAGAGTACGTGAGACTAGTCTTTAGTCTCTAATAAAGTTTAGAAGACCAACATATGTGGAACACATAAAGCCCTTGGATCACATGTTGATAGATTTACTTAGGACCGTCTGATGGAGTTAAAAAATACAGCAAGACATATGGAATAACTAGTACCTTTGAATTATGCCTTGCCGGACCATCTCAACCATTCAATCAAAATGACACATTAGCTCCAACTGATAATTTTCTTGTACATACAATAATACCTTAGTCTTGTATATTTATAATACAATAGCTGTATAGAGTACTTAGAATTTAGTGTAGGACCAATAAAATGAACATACATATAAGAAGTATTTTTCATTTATTTCTCTTCAGCTACATGTATATATACAAGGCAAAGGATCAATGAGAACACATAAAGAAATTTCAAAATCAGTCTTATTAAATTCCTACTTTCTACATGGTATCGGAGCAGCAACTATTAGATCATATTCCCTTAGTTGCTTTCTTCCTTTCTTTCTTTTTCTTCTTCTTCTTCTTCATTCTATATCTTTAAAAATGGTTTCAACTTCTGAAGTCACTTCTGGCAGCAGCAGAAATACTATGACTGCAGCCAATGGCGAAGCCAGGAAATTCAATAAGGGTGTTCAAATTTTGAACAACCTTTTCCAGTGGGTTATGCAAGTATGTTCAAAGTCTATTTTAATCAATAATAAGTAATATTTTACCTTATACGTAGTATAATATTTTGGCGAAGGGTGGTAAGGTTACCACCCTTGGGCCAACCTAGCTTCGCCCCTGACTGCAGTAGATCACTATCTCCCTTTCTTCAAATTCACTAGGAATGAACCTCGTGAACTCTTCCTTTGATGGAAGAGTTATGAAGGCTGGAGGAGATCCATCTTGATTCCCCTTTCAACAAAGAAAATGTAGGTTTCATTGATGGATCTCGCAAAGTACCAGATTCAAACTTTGCTAATTTTAAGCTTTGGAGCACGTGCAATGATATGGTGATATCATGGTTGCTAAAATCTCTCTCAGAGGAAATAGCTGACAGTGTCATCTATCCCAAAGACAGCTAGAGATCTGTGGAACTTGAGGACAAGTTTGGACAATCCAATGGCGTCAAACTTTATCACCTACAAAAGGAATTAAGTGATTTAGTGCAGGGGTCTACTGATATTGCAGGTCACTTCACCAAAATCAAAGTTTTGTGGGATGACCTTGATGACCTAAACACTACTGGGAACCGCTCATGTGCATGTAAGAAATGTCTTAATTCTATAAAGTCAATTCATCCACAATACTAAGTCTCTAAAGTATTTGGATATGAACATTTGCTCTCGCATGGGTTATTGCAAAAATGAGCTGAATGGATATGAGTTTTGTTATAGTAAGTAATCTAGGTTGAAGGGTGTTATTTAGTTTGTGTTAACATATTCTGCCCGGGGAGTGTGTTCTTTTAATGCATAATGCACTATGATGATTTCACTATTAAATATGAATTCTTCGATTCTATGATCAGATTAATGATTACTAGAAATGCAAACTCAATTCCATATTCTTATGCAGGCACACGATTTAGGAGATGTCGTTCCATCACCAACTGGGCCAAAGAGGATCCTTTGACGAAAGTAACAATGAGAACAGAGCAAATGGCAAATAGTAATTATTGTTAGGATGAACTATATTTTTTTTTTTGTATTGTAATTCTTGAATAACTCTCTGCAACTTAAAGTTGAATCTTTGATGATATGGATTTTGGGCACTTATGTTTTAATATGATGAATATTTTGCTTATTTAATTTTCTATATTTTGTGTTAAGATTATTATGATGGGTGCTTGATTGCATAAGGGTGCAGTAAAAAAGATCTAAATGTGGAATTAACAAATTAACATTAAAAATATTATAATTATGGCAGCATAAACTGTCTATGTGGTAAACTTTTTACAATCACGGCGGTTTCTAACCGCCATAATAAGCAAAGTAAACAGCCATTTTAAAAAATGGATATTGCGGCGGTTTCCTCTGCATATTACGGCGATCATCTGTTTACGGCAAATTTTTAACAATTGCAGCGGTTTCTTACCGCCATAATAAGCAAAGTAAACAATCATTTTAAGCAATGGATATTGTGGCAGTTTTCTCTGCATATTACGGTGGTCAGCTGATAACCGTCGTGTTATACCTTTTGGCGGAACCGATTATGGAGGTGGTTCAAGCCGCCATTAAGGAAAATTATGGCGGTTCTGAACCGCCACTATATGCAATAAAATTCGCCGCAATTACCCCTGTTTTTTTGTAGTGGTGACAAGGAAACAACAATAGACCAAGAGAATTCAAGTAGTTATGGGATATCAAAACACCAAATAAGATCAACTTCTTCTTTTGGACTCTCCATCATGGTAGACTTCATACTAACGGATATATAGTTGAGCTCTATTGGTCTTAACATCACTAATTCATGCTGTTTCTATGGCCGAACCTTCAGAAAATGCTAGGCACATCTTTTTTGAATGCCAGAATTTCAAGTCCTTTTGGCATAATGTACTCCAAACAAGCACTAACAAGGCACTAACGGGGAGTCTACACTTTGGCAAAGATAACTAGCAGTAGGCTTGGAGCAGAATTCATGGCCAGCCATTTAACCACTTAATAAGTTGGGACAATCTTATCTCTATATATTTCATCAATTATTTATTATTTTTCACCGGCATAAATTCTTTATCATCTCTAGCCTCCTTTTAAATATGGGGATCACCGTTTCCTTGTACGCTTTATATAGTAGCATTCACTTCCTAGGAAGTTTAAGTATACTTTCTTGTAACATATATTGATAAAATGCCACGGCAATTCTTAAACTACCCGAGAAAGTACAATTGCAAGTGGATGATGTACAACGTCTTCCTGCGGCAGTGATATCTTATGTGGCCAATACTTCTTTTCCCCATTGAATAAGTCATGAACTGGACATCTATGCCTTTTTATTTTAAACAATGAAGCTTCAATTTTTGGCTAGAGCGATAACAATTATTTTAGTTACATAATCTCAACTCTTTATTTTCTAATGTGTGTGTGACGAAACTTTCATCAATTTTTAGGGGACTACACCTTGTTCATTTGATAGAAAGTCAATTCTTCTTCCCTTCCAATTTTATAAAATATATACAAAAGATGTCTCAAATCTTCATTACGAACGTGGAACCAAGTATCTCCAAGAGGAAATCTCCGTAAGGGATTTAGGCTTCCCTCTCTTTCTTTACCTCTAATTTAATTTTATTTTTTAAGTTTGAATTGTTTGTTTAGGATAATGCATCTATAAGCAAAGTACAACAGTTTTAATTGCATTTTTCAAGTAGTTTTATGCTCATGTTTTATGATAATGAATTATTAAATACAATAAGAACCTGTATCGTATTTTTTTAGTGGGCTAATGATGGAAAAGAATGACTTTTTTTTTCTTCTCAAATACAATAAGAACCTTTCCTCCGAACATATAATGATAAATCTATAACTTTTCATATAGAGTTAATTGTACTTATGTCTCATATATTTTTAAGAGTTTAAGTTGTATATACTGTCGACGCATAGATTCTTTATACCAACCAGCTAAGTTGACATATAACAATAGGTAACTCTTCATAACAACTCTGATATGATTTAGCCTGAAATATAATATAATAACATGCTATAGCCGGTTAATTTGCACCGATAAATTAAAAATCTTGTGTTTATATAATAAAATCCTATATTTAAAACTACAAATCAGAAGGTTTAGTTTCTGCGTTGCTCCTTTCTTTATAATCAATGATTTTCTTATTCTGACATTTCAAAGATGAAATGGAAGTATGTTCTCATTCTTCTTATCTCACTAAATATCTTGTGAACAACTGATTAAATTTCCTATCACAATGGCTTATGGGCTATTTTGGTAGCTGATTTTGCTTAATTAACTTGCATATCCTGAGTAGTAAAAACATAATGAAACTCCAAGCTCTACTCTCAAGTATTGCCATTTTTCTCCCCTTGCTTGCAATTCTTCCTCACATTATTGCTAATCTTGAATCTGATAGACAAGCTCTACTTCAATTTGCAGCATCTGTGCCACATCTTAGAAAACTCAACTGGAACTTTGCTGTACCAATTTGCAAATCTTGGATTGGTATCACTTGCAACAAAGATGGAACCAGAGTTATTGCAATCCATTTGCCTGGTGTTGGACTTTATGGACATATCCCAGCCAATAGTATAGGAAAACTAGATGCTCTCAAAGTCCTTAGCCTAAGAGCAAACAATCTAAATGGAAATGTTCCTTCTGATATCCTTTCAATCCCTTCTCTCCAGTCCATCTACCTTCAACACAATAATTTCTCTGGTGATATTCCTATTTTTTTATCACCTAAACTTGGTCTAATGGATCTCTCCTTTAACTCTTTTACTGGAGAAATTCCCCCTTCAATCACGAATTTGACTAGACTGTCTGTGTTAAACCTACAGTTCAATTCATTGTCTGGAACAATTCCCAATATTGATGCCTCAAGGTTAAGTCTTTTGAATTTGAGTTATAACATGCTAAATGGCTCAGTTCCATATTCCCTCAAGAAGTTTCCACTTTCTTCTTTTGTGGGAAACTCTAATTTATGTGGGACGCCTCTCAATAGCTGTTCTTCAAGTTCTGCACCACCCCCTGCAATCTATGAAAAGCATAAAGGTGCCAACTTTAAGAAACTTAGTACTGGAACTATCATTGAAATTGCAATAGGTGTTCCCTCTGTGATTTTTCTCCTGTTTTTATTGATTTCCTTCTGCTATTTGAATATGAAAGTTAGTAATAAAACAAGCATAGTTGAAGAGAAAATGGAAAATGGGGGAAGGAATGAGAAGTCAGAGGAGTTTGGGAGTGGGGTGCAAGATTCTGAAAAGAACAAATTGATGTTCTTTAAAGGGTGTACTTACAACTTTGATCTGGAGGATCTGCTAAGTGCTTCTACTGATGTTCTTGGTAAAGGGAGTTATGGAACTGCTTACAGAGTTGTCTTAGATGAGGTAACAATAGTAGTGGTGAAAAGGTTGAAGGAAGTGGGAGTTGCTAAAAAGGAGTTTGAACAGAATATGGAGATTGTGGGAAGGGTTAAAAGACACCCTAATATAGTGCCACTGCTTGCATATTATTACTCCAAAGATGAGAAACTTCTTGTTTATGAATACAAGCCTGCTGGTTACTTGTCATCAGCCTTGCACGGTATATGTTGCTTCACTCTGATTGAAATTATCATTTCATCCCAATACATTCTTCACATTTTTCCTAGAGTTTAAGTTCTGTGCACTGATAATTTAAATTTTTTTCATATTATCATTTTTCATTGTGTTGATATAGTGAAGAATATTGCTTAAATTCATAACTTGCTGCAGATTAATAATGATTCCTTTTCTGGGCTTTATTCTTAAACGATCTTGGCTATAACAGGTAATAGAGGCTTTGGAAGAATTCCATTAGATTGGGACGCTAGATTGAAGATCTCTCTAGGAGCAGCAAAAGGAATTTCACATATCCACTCTGACGGTGGATTTAAGTTTATTCATGGAAACATCAAGTCATCCAATGTACTTCTTACAAAGGAGCTCGACGGTTGCATTTCTGATTTTGGTTTAACCACTCTAACAAATTACGTATCCATCAAGTATAAGGGTGCTGGTTACTGCGCTCCAGAAGTGATTGAAACGCGAAAAGGCACACAAAAATCTGATGTTTACAGCTTTGGAGTATTGCTTCTTGAGTTGCTCACTGGAAAATCCCCTCTTCCAATGTTAGGGCACGATTACATAGTCGATTTGCCAAGGTGGGTTCGTTCTGTTGTTAGAGAGGAATGGACGGCTGAAGTTTTCGATGTAGAGCTGATGAAGTACCAGAATATTCAAGAAGAGATGGTGCAGATGCTTCAGATTGCACTTTCATGTGTAACAAAGGTGCCTGATATGAGGCCTACAATGGATGAAGTGATTAGAATGATTGAAGAAATTAGGCAACCAGAATGAACCGTAAGTATCGGAAATTTATAAGTGCCTAGTTTGTCTAGATGAAACTCCAATTCTGATTTCTGGCATTTGTAGAATTTTGGTCTCTTTGTCTTCCATAATGGAGAATGTGTTGTTTCTTCCATCTCTTTGTCTTATTCTGCCCATAGGTGAAAGTACGAGAGGGAGGTGAATTATAACCGATTTTAAAACTTAGTTGACTAAGAAAGGAATTAGTCGACTAAACTTCACTGGGATCAATTGCAACAGAAATAAATTATGCAGAATGAAAAGTAAAGGAGGCACAACAATTTTATACTGGTTCAGTACCGGTGTGGTACCTACGTCCAATTCCCTTGGGTCAGAAGGGTTCTCTTAGATCTTTAATAAATATTTACAACAGTGATGGTTTTAGTACGTTCACCACCAACGACATACAACAATAATGTTTATCTAGTGTTGACACAACTCTTATTTTTTTTCTTTCTAATTCTTCCTGTCTTTTGCGACACTTGTAGACTTAGGAATACACACTAATAGAAATTCGGCAAAAACCGACCACGGTCGACCGACCAATTTTGGTCGGTCAAACAACTGACAAAAAAACCGACCAAAGTTGGTCGGTTTTTCAAAATATTTTATTTTTTAATTTCTTTTTACGAAACCGACCAACTTTGGTCGGTTTTCTTTGGCGCAAAATGCGGGAAACTATTTTTGAGTTCCGCGAAATTTATTTTTCAAGAAACCGACCAACTTTGGTCGGTTTTTCATTTAAAATAAATTAATATTAATATTTAAAAAAATGACCAAAATCGATCGGTTAATTCGGCCGGTCATTTTAAAAAACCGACCGAATTCGGTCGGTAATTTTATTTTTTAATAAAATCGACCAACTTTGGTGGGTTATTTTCATGTGAAAATATAATTAAAGAGTATAAATGAAATAAAAGACAGTCTTAAAACAAAATGCACCAATGGTCTAGTGGTAGAATAGTATCCTGCCACAGTACAGACCCCGGTTCAATTCCCAGATGGTGTATTTTTTAATTACATAATTAAAATACCGACCAACTTTGGTCGTTGGTCGATTTTTCTAGCAATCTTTATTTTTTGAATTTAATTGACCGACCAAAGTTGGTCGGTAATTTCCGACCAACTTTGGTCGGTCAATTAAATTCAAAAAATAAAGATTGCTAGAAAAATCGACCAACGACCAAAGTTGGTCGGTAATTTCCGACCAACTTTGGTCGGTATGCCCTTCCGACCTTCAAAATACCGTCCATACGTATATGGTCACGTTTTGGACGGTTTTTGGCCAATACCGACCCAATTTGATCGGTTTTTTGGACGGTTTTGCCCGAATTTTTAGTAGTGACAGTGTTTGTACTAAGAACTAGAAAGGTCTAGAAACATATGTGAAGTTGCGTAATCTTCCTTGTCCTTTTACTTCTTCTTTTATAGTGGTCGATGGGTCTTTTGATTTCTCTTTTCCGGGATCGCACAGGAGCAATGATTGGAGGTCTTTCCTTTTGAGGCATAGACTTCTAAGAGTGAGACCCAAGAGTAGCCTTATGAATCTAGCATGAGAGGTGTGGCCAAATTTATTCTCAGTTTGAAGTTTTGGCTCCTCCAATTAACCTTGTTTAGAGCTTTCGCAGATTGCCCTTGATTAGCTCTCTATCCTTGATTGGCTCTCTTTCCTTTCTTGCACGCTTGAAAATCTTTAGCTCGTCTGATTGATTGTCTTTCCTTCCTTGTTCTTTGATTGATTGATTGATTCTTTTTCCAATAGAGTTTGTAAAACATAGCCGTTGGCTTCCTCTGATTTCCTTGTATGGTTTTTTTTTTCCTTTCATTCATCAGAGCTGTTGCGAATCTGCGCATAAAGTGAGATGATATTAATCAAGGCTCTTTTGATTATTGATCATTATTAAAATTCTAAACCTAACAATCTCTCCCTTTTTTATGATGACAATAATCCAAAACGAGTTCGACTAATTTAGGGGATACTTCCCTATACTAATGTACTTTTGCTCCCCCTGCCTTTGTGCTCCTTGTTTGTTTGCATGCCCCCTTATCTTTGTACTCTTTTTCTTCTCCCCCTTTGACATCAATCAAAAAGAGCAAGAAGAGATACAGAGAATAATAGCTAATAAAAATACTAGTCATATATATATATATATATACTAGTATCTATGAACGTGTGTTGCACGTTATTAATAACGCATGATAGTTTAAACATTTATTTATATGAAGGAACAATAAAACTTAATTAATGAGAAAAAATTTATGTATAATAATACAAGAATCATCTAAATGCCAGAAAATATTATTACATTAGCATAATAAGTGAACTCAAAATGAAAGGATATCATCAAAACTTACATAATGATTAATTTAGTCACGTTAGTTAGATAATTATGTATTATAGTTTAAAAGTATTTAATGTGATGATATCTTACCGAACACTTATTTGTAGACGATATTATTTTTGTGTATATTTCTTTCTAATACTTTGGTTGCTCTACCATAACCACAACTCTTGTTGTCGATATTGATATTCTTCTTGAAAGTGCAACATATAGTTGTCCATGCAAGAAAACTTATTGCGATAAATATAGTCCAATAATTGCAAAATATAAACATACTAAAAATTATTTTCACACATATTTAAAAGGATATTCTTTAGTTTCGAAAGACGAAAGTTGAATTCAGAGATAAAAATATACTTAGAAGCACATTGACCAGTATCATAATTTTTTCATGTATGATGTTATTGTCAAAACTTCTATATATCATTTGTGTGCTATTACATAAGCTATTCGGCAGATCTAAAATTTTCAATAGCATGACGGACATATTTTTCTTCAAAATCAATCTATATACAACGGAATATCAATTTAACTTAGTCTATTATATATACGATGACACTAACATACGTAAGAAATAATAAACTTTATAACAAATATGTATGGTAGAAGGTTATTTGGTATTAAAGTATTTAAGTATTCTTTTTGGTAATAATTATTAGTATCATCTTCTGCTAAGTCAAAAACTGAAAAATATTTTATTTTTACCATGAAATTTGCTATCAACCTTTTATTTAGTTGATCAACATATTCATTTGTGCTAGCTAAAATAACTTTTTAATTTCTATCATATAATTTGCAAATTGTGTTTTAATCTAATGATGAAAATATTACCCTTATTAAATGCACTACTCTTTCCACTGGGTTGATAACCAAGTATTTTGGAAGAATCAAATCATCTTTTATTGGATGTTTTTTTTCGTTTCCGACACGAAGAAAGAAGCCACTGAATACTGGATGTTGTTCTTACATTATATTTCTTATCAGTTGATTTTTTTTTTCATTTGAGGCCATAAGTATAATTTTGGCAAGTTAACTTTTACAGTTTCTGCTTTCGTCGATTTTGAAACTACTGGTAGTATTTGACATAAATCACCTCCCAAATCATTAATTTTCCACCAAACGGTTCATGACATTCAATATATATCTAGAACTCCGGGCATTATTTCGATCATTTGACACTTAGCCATAAGCGCTTCATCCCATCTTATCAATTTTGCTTTCATTATTAACAGTATTGCACTGCTTTGATATATTTGTGATGGTCATTACAGTTGTTTGAAGAGGTATATCAAATCTAAAGTGGGTGGCGTCATAATAAAATTATTATTGGTATACCACTTGTTATTATTGCTAACAATATCATGCATGTGGTCTAACATTTGCAAGTAATGCATGACATAAACATATTATTTCGATTTCGCCGGAGGCATCTACAAAAGAAAATCTCGCTATACCAGAGTCAGCTCTTTATAATATAGTCTTGAAAGCTTGTTCTTGTTCATTTTTTAGCTTTGATTGTGCTTCCTCAGACACTTGTATGGCGTTTTGAATCTTAATACTATACTAACCTTTTTTTACTTTGTGTTCTAATTTTTTTTTTAACTCTAACGCTCTTTTTATGGAATAAATTTATGTACCCTAAGGGTTTATTTAGTACAATGGTGGAATATCCCATGAGGTGGGATATCCCATGGGATCAGTTATCCCACCTTCTATATGAGATAACTAATCCCACCATTTTAGTGTAAAAATTATCCGGTATTAGCTTATACCCCAAACTAAACATGGGATAAAATTAATTCCAAACTTTATGCCGTGATTATTATCCTTATCCCTTGTACCAAACGACCCCTAAGATTTTTTTTTAACTTGAAAAATAATTTTACTCATATGATGATAAAAAATAATTGAATTGGATTCTCTTACTAAATAATTAATTAAAAATTTTAATTTTTTGGTCTTAAATAAAAAATAATTTATTTTATGTTGTTTCATATTTTAATATTAGTTCATCTCTTATTTTGAATATTTAATCTTAATTATAATTTTATTCACCATTAATTTTATTTTCAAGAGTAAAAAGATCGATCTAAAATTTTACTTTTAGATCTTTATATTTGCAGAATCATTAATGGTATTAACCTTACCAACCATATTTCTTTCTACCTTACCAACCATATTTCTTTCTCTTTCGCATTATATTCTTAAATATTTTCTTTGTTGTTGTTTAATAATTGGATATATTTTTTAATATTACACGATAAAATTGATTATTTTTTTTATTTGAGTAGGAAAATAATTCAAATATAATATACAAATATATTATCGTTGGGATATTATTTTCTTAATTTCAACGCTTTATGCATTCCTTTTAACATCACTTTTATTTTTCTTGGTATTGGACATTATAGGGTAGTAATGTATTGCCAATACGGAGGATCTTTATGGAATTGATTTTATTAGTTCTTAATTAGTACTAAACTTTATTGTCCGATTTGATTTCTTAGTGCTGACACCCTCGTATACCGATCAACCAGTGAAGCGACAGAAGAACCCATTTGACAGTAATCTAGAAGGAACTTCAGAAAAAGACTAGAAAGTAAGGAATGAAGTGCTCGACCGAACAAGCAACGACTGACGAGATAGGGGCGCGCTAGCGCTCAAGCCTATTCTAATAAGGGCGTTAGCGCATCCGTTTTCTT